ACGACTGTGCTGCGCCTCTTCCTGCTGCCGCACAAGGACCAGCGGCAGATGTTCTTCGTGGTGAGGAGGGGACAAGGGCTCTTCCCTCCCCCAGGGAAGGGTGGCAAGCGATGGGTTTGGGAGATTTCAGGTCCTCGCCTCCTATTCTCTTTTCAGATCAGCCTGGACCCCCCGATAAAGCAGGGCCAGACCCGCTACCACTTCCTTATCCTGCTCTTCTCCAAGGATGAGGACATTTCCCTGACCCTCAACATGAACGAGTGAGTTCCTCGCCTGCCGGGCCACTTCCTCGGCCCCCTCCCTGGGTTTGGGGGCTGCGGGGAGCTGGGAGGGCGGTAAGGAACCTCTTGGGCTCTCGTTCTCACCGCTGCCCTCTCTTTTGGCCACGCAGGGAGGAGGTGGAGAAACGCTTCGAGGGGCGGCTCACCAAGAACATGTCGGGCTCCCTCTACGAGATGGTCAGCCGGGTCATGAAGGCGCTGGTGAATCGCAAGATCACCGTGCCCGGCAACTTCCAGGGGTGAGGCGCGCTGCTGCCGGCCGAGGGGGGGGTGCATGGTGGAACCTGGGATCTTCCTGCTGCAGGAAAGGGCGCGGAGGTCGGGGAGATGCACAGTGAGCCTCGTCCTCCCCAGGGCAGGAGGAGCTGCTGGTTCGGTAGTCTGAGTTTGAGATCCCTCCCTGACTGGCAGCAGGACCAGCCCCTCTCTTTCTCTCTTGTTCCCGTGGTCAGGGAGAAGGGGCTTTGTGGGATTTGTGCCTCGTGCTGGGGGAGCAGCTGATGGGCTCGTCTGGGCTGCGGGGGCCCCCTGTCTCGCCGTGGGGACGGGCACGGGGAGGGCGTTTGCTCCCTGCGGGTGTAAGACGGCCGCGTTTGCTCTCGCAGACACTCCGGAGCGCAGTGCATCACCTGCTCCTACAAGGCCAGCTCGGGGCTTCTCTACCCGCTGGAGCGTGGCTTCATCTACGTGCACAAGCCGCCCGTGCACATCCGCTTCGACGAGATCTCCTTCGTCAACTTCGCCCGCGGGACCACCACCACCCGCTCCTTCGACTTCGAGATCGAGACCAAGCAGGGCACGCAGTACACCTTCAGCAGCATAGAGAGGTGGGCGTGGGGCACGCTCTCGCCGTGCCCGCCGGGCTGCTCTCTGTGCTGCTGGCACTCCGAGTGCCACCCGTCCCTGACCGCCCCGCCTGTCCTGCAGGGAGGAGTACGGGAAGCTCTTTGACTTTGTCAACGCCAAGAAGCTGAACATCAAGAACCGAGGCCTCAAGGAGGTACCTGCTGAGCAGGGCTGGTTCCCCGCGCCCCGCTGGAACCGCTGCCCCGCCGGCTGGGGTGGGGAGAGGGCTGGGGGCCGTCATCTCTCCAAAATTCTGCTGCTTTTCCCTTTTTTTTTTTTTTCACCTCTCTTTTCTTTCCTTGCCCTTGTAGAGGAAAAAGGTCCGTGCGATATCCCTTCCTCTTTCTCCTCTTCCTCCTCCTGGTGCAGGTTTCCTCTGCATGGCCGTGGTGGTCCCTGACTAAACCCAGTAACCCCGGCATGATTTGCGACAGGGCCCCCCTAACCCTGATAACTTTTTTGCCCCTCTCTCTGGAGCCCTGATGGGGAGAAGGAGGGGATGTGGCAGCTGTCCCGTCCTCCCCACCCCGTGCATGAGTCCGGGGCCTGCCCGGGGGCCATGCCCACCCAGGAGCATGCCAGGAGTTGCGGTTTCCAGAGGGGGTGTGCGTGCGGGCAGGGGGAGCGCAGGGAGCAGCGCTCACGCTGTCTCTCCCACAGGGCATGAAGCAGAGCTACGACGAGTACGCTGACTCCGATGAGGACCAGCACGACGCCTACTTGGAGAGGATGAAGGAGGAGGGCAAGATCCGGGAGGAGAACGCCAACGACAGCAGCGACGGCTCTGGGGAGGAGACTGGTGAGGGCTGAGGCTGGCGGGCCTGAGGGACTGCTGGGGGGCCGCCTTCGGTGCCCAGGCTTCTTCCCCCCCTCTGGTGAAGTCCTGTCCGTCCTCGCCTTGCTCTGAGCTGACCCCTGCGCTCTCCTTCCAGACGAGTCCTTCAACCCCGGCGAAGAGGATGACGATGTGGCCGAAGAGTGAGTGGAGGCCGGGCAGGGGTCTGGCTAGCGGGGCTCTTGGAAGGTGCTGTTTGAGGGCGTGGTGTGGGGGCAGCGGCGGCCTGGGGCTGTGTGAACGCTGGGGAATGCTCCAGGCACAGCGGTATCACTTGATAAATCCCTGGACTTAAAAACCTCGAGAAGCGGGTGCAGTTCTGGGCACTCTCTCTTGTAATGACATTATGCAACTTGAGAGGGTGAGAGCAGGGCGGCCGGGAGATCGGATGGCTCCCGGCTGGGGCCTCGGCCGTCTCCGCACCAGCGCCAAGGGCCGTTGTTTGTGCTGCTGAGCGCCGGGCTCAGCCCCACAGGAGGAGGTCGATGCTGGTGCAGTTGAGCCGTGCGAGCCTAAAATTTACAGGAAGTGAGAAGATGATGAGCCCTGTTCGTGGAAGAAAAATCCCCTGAGAGCTGTTAAGCACGAACACAACAGCTTCAGCTCAGGAAGTCTCCGAATTATGGGTTGCTGGAGGCTGGGAGAGTTCGGGGGCAGGCCTTGCTGCCTGCTTTTCACGGCTCCCTCTCCCCCGCCTCGTGCTTCATCTTTTTGGGGTGGGGGTCTGGAGCTGTCGCTGAAGCCAAGTACCTCCACGCAGGTTTGACAGCAACGCCTCGGCCAGCTCCTCCAGCGGTGACGGCGACAGCGACCGGGACGAGAAGAAGCCAGCCAAGAAGGCCAAGATTGTCAAAGACCGCAAGCCCCGCAAGAAGCAGGTGGAGGTGAGAGGCTGTGGAGAGCAGGAGCTGCTGTTTGGAGCAGCACCGGGGAGACGCAGGTCGCAGCCCTTCAGCTCAGCTGCTTCACCTCAGCCTTCTGCCACAGTCTGGTCTGGTGCCACCGCCTCGCCGGGCTTCGCCCTGGCCGAGTCGCTTGTCCAAGCCCCGCTTCACTGCCTCCTGCCGAGGAACCTGGGCTGCGACTCCTCCAAAGGGTGCCCCGCGCCCGTGCCTGGCCAGTCCTTTCTGTTGTTGGGGGACGTGGCTCCGACAGCCTGCCCTTTGGGCTTTCGGGGCTGTGACCTGACAGCCCGTCTGCCCTGAGGGGGTAGCTGAAGTGCTGGTGGGGTGGAGGAGGCAAGCCTCCTCTGGGGGCAAGCCCAGGTCCCGAGGTCTTTAGTGCCTGGTGCCGAGGCTTTCACGCTTGTTCTCTCCCCTCCCTGCCTCCCAGAGCAAGAAAGGGAAGGACCCCAACGCTCCCAAGCGGCCGATGTCGGCTTACATGCTCTGGCTGAACGCCAACCGTGAGAAGATCAAGTCCGACCATCCCGGCATCAGCATCACAGACTTGTCCAAGAAGGCTGGGGAGCTGTGGAAAGCCATGTCCAAGGAGAAGAAGGAGGTGAGGGAGGGGGCGTCGGGGTCGCTCTGCCGGCGGGGAGCGCTGGGGCCGGTCTGGGAGGGGGAGGCTGGAGAGGAGGAGGCTAGCGCTCGGTCTCGGGAAGCTGGGGGGCAGGAAGGGAGCGCGGCAGCGGGGAGGCGACGCCTGTGGGCTGGTGAGCTGCTGGGTGAGCGTAGGCTTGATCCGAGGCGGCGAGGGACGCGGTGGGAGCGCCGGCGCGGCGTGGGACGGGGTTGGGCTCTGGCGGTGCAGATGGCGGTGGAGGAGGAGAGGGAGTGCTAACCTCGTGCTGTCGCTGCAGGAATGGGATCGCAAGGCGGAAGATGCCAGGAGGGACTACGAGAAGGCCATGAAGGAGTACAGCACGGGCAGCAAGTCGGAGAGTGCCAAGACGTGAGTGCGCTGAGCGGAGGGGGCTGGTGGGAGGGGTGGCAGGGCTTCGCCCCTCCGAAATCGGGCGGTTCCCCAGCCACCGCGGTGCCTGGGCCTCTCCAGGGCTGGGGGGTGTGAAGGGCGTCCTCGGTGCCAGAGACGGGGCCGGCAGCAGGGTAACGCTTCCCCTCTCCCTTCGCCCTCCCAACACACGTGCAGGGAGAGGTCTAAAAAGAAGAAGAAGAAGCAGGAGAAGCAAATGAAGGGGAAAGCGGAGAAGAAAGGTGCCGCCTCCAAGTCTTTGTCCTCCACCAAGTCCCCTGCCAAGAATATGAGCGAGAGCTTCAAGAGCAAGGAATTTGTCTCCAGCGACGAGAGCTCCTCCGGAGAGAACAAGAAGGAGGTAGGGCTCCTGCTGGGCGGCCGGGGGTTCTGCTGGCCCAGCTTGCCCCGGCAGCGCTCCCTCGCCTCTCATCCCGTCCCTGCAGGGGCTGGAACCCTCTGGTAGCCCTTGTCCGGGGTCCGCTGGTCACGTCCCTCTGGGTGGGGGTGGCCTGTCTGTGCGCTACACGTGTCCCCGAGTCACCACTGTCACCCCGTCCCCGCTGTGGGGCACAGGAGAGGCGGGGGAATGGGAGCTGCTGCCCTGACCTCATCCCCCACTGCCCTGACCTCGTCCCCTGCCCACAGGACTCGGAGGAGGAGGGAGTCGCCAGCCTGCCCCCCAGCTCGGAGGAGTCCGCGTCCGGCTCGGATTAGCCCCGTCCCCAGCTGGCTCCAGGCTGGTTCCCAGATGGGTGAGGCCGGGGCGGGCCGGCCCCGTGGCGGGGACCCGGGT